ATTATTACTATATATTCCAAATCAAATCTAAATTCCGAAACATATGTAAAAAAAAAAACTAAATTAATACACTATTGTAAATGTATTAAAGGCATAATGACAGATCTCGTTTCATCATCTAGCACAGGGAAACGCATCATTTTTTCTCTAATGTAATGTTAGTTAATTTCCATGACTGAAGATAACTAAGTTGCGAAACTAAATGTATATTCAATAATTCTGAAGAACAGGGTACATTAAAATATTCTACAACTTTCTCAAACTTTCGTCCAATTATCAATATGCTTTGATCTAATTGCGAAGTTGCAATATTGTCTATTAGTACTAAATCACCACTTTTCATTTTCACACAATTATTTGCCTTATTTAATTTTATTACAAATTTTTCTGTCTTCCATCCTGTAAATTGAGGTCCACATACATCTTGAGTCATTGGTCGATTATTTTGTTTATGCTGCATTTTTACAGGTCCAAGACAAACTTTATTTTCATTTTTATTTAATTGACATATTTTCTTCTCTTCAGCATAGCGACGTACTAATTGTTGCAACGGTTTCATACCACTCTTGATTTTTCTTTTAATGGTTGCATATAGCTTTCAAATGGGAAAGCTGAAAAGTTATCAAGTGGCGTAAACTTCTTAACATCATCTGCTAAATGTGAAATAATATGCACATTGTGTGACATATAAGACCTCCCATAAATATGAGCAAACAATGAAACAAAACTATGTATTAAAGATTTTGCATAGTCAATATATTCCTCTGAAATGTCACTAGTTGATAGGATTCGTATAACAACACACAACTGCATAAAGTGATCATATACTTCCTTGTTAACAATTCCATGTAGAACAACCATACCAGTATACAAGAGGAGTTGACGCAACTCTGTCGCTTTCCATCGGCTGGCATCTCGAAAAGGATGTTTTCGACTATTGACATTCGGTACTCTTTGAAACTCTTCTGGTACATAATGACCTAAATCATTAAATTTATCATCCAATAATGAAATCAAGTGTGAGGAAGAGTCAAGTTGTGCCGTTTAATTCCACCATTCCAAAAAACTAATAATTTTTTCATGACCCAAATATACACACAATGCATATAGTCGAACGGTATATCATTTACTAGATCAAACTTGGGTATATTTACTAATATAGTATGACCAGAATGAAATTCAGCATCAGAGTGAGCAATAAAATCATCATGAGTTCTTAGAGGCAAATTTAAGCGTGGAAAAAATACTCTGTTATTTTCATATTCACCTGAAAAAATACATCTTACACAAGATTTTTTGCCAGTATGCCCTTTTACACTCAAAATATATGATTTTGCCGGAGTATCACATATCAAAGCCTTTAATATTACTTTGAAGTTGGTATTATTAAAAGAAACACCAATATTTATAAGACTATTCAACTCATTCACAAAATCTTGCAAAAACTCATTGGAATCTTCAGGTTTAGGTTTACCATAATAAGTGCCAATTATAAAAACTTTAAATTTGTTTAATTCTAAATTTGAAAAACATCCAAGTATTAGCCACAGTTGACTTGGTGGATTTTTAGAAATAGGTAGACCATCTATTCCAACTGTCAGTTCTAATATACAAGGCAGATTATAATTAAGTTCAATCATGTGTTCAATTTCTTGTTGAATACCAAAGTGGTAATAAATACCACCCTTGATATGTTTTATTAAGGTTGTGGTTGGGGTTTTTAATAAAGTTCTTGAGTCCTTTGGTAAATTTTTGAATGGAGAATATTTAGATAAACTTAATAGCAGATCATCTAAGGCAGAGTGAGTAATACCATGATGGATAGCCCATCTTGCAATTATGGTATCAAGTCCTTCATCTGATTCAAGTGGTATGATATCATCTTCTGTTATACTAGAACTACAAAATATTTATCAGAAGAATCACAGTAAAAATGTGAATTGATACTGTCAAATGTATTACTACCATTTTCTTCTAAATTTTTGGAGACACTTTCTTCAGTAACTAGGGGAATTGTTGAATTTGTACCCAATAATGAATATTCTTCGTCATTTTCACTGCTTGATGAAAATAATGTAGCAATGGAACGAGCTGCTTGTTTTCTGCGACGTTATCGAGTACTTTTTGACCTATTTGATGCTATGAGTTTAAGCTATGCAACTTTAATATAAATGCTGAAGAATTGATTAATAACATGTCAGTGATTATGTTCAAGTTAAAATATAAGTTTTAGTGAAATTAGGCAACAATGGCATTTTTATTAATATTTTAATTTCTACCAAAATAATAAAACTTATATTTCTATACATAAATAAGTTATACCTACTTTAAATGTAATTAACTAAATTTTAGTTGACCACCTAAACAATATAACATAGATAATGTTAACATTATGCTTAATTATATTGAAATATTGTAAGTACCAATAAAAAAAATTCAACTGTTCAATATATTTAATATATAGGTATCAACCAGTTATATATTTTATACATTTTTACTATAGATCCAATATATTGTATATTTTAATAATATTATGTAGATTATTATTACCCCAATATTAGTTAAATTTACTGCCTAGATCTACCTATTATAATTAAACAGTTAACATTTAAAATAATCATATCACTTATTATAACCAATTCAACTTTATTTTATTCTATACCTATAATATAGTAATATTTTTTGCATACTTAATTATACTATTCCTATCTAACTATATAATAGTATAGTTAAAMAAATACAATTTTCAATATAGGTAGGTATAATAGTTTAATGAATGTAAACAATTAATTTAATTATTAATTATTATTGTTTAAATGATAAATTACTAAATTATTTACTTTTGCTAAGTAGTTACTTGAGAAAGAACTGTATAAATAATAATTTAAACTACCTATACATATAATCTACTATATATAGTGTATAATATAATATGTATATTCAATTTTGTATTTGTATAATCATAATATTATAAAAGTATACCAACGTACCTAAAATAAGCTATATGTAAATCTACAGAAAAATACTAATTTAATTTTATAATATATAATATAACAAATATTATATCAAAAACAATAATATTATTATATCATGGCCTATAGATACACACGGCGCGCGGCGTAGCAATAATGTTATTCTGTGCATTATTTTTTAGGAGTTATAACTGTTATAAGTAGGAATACTTATAATAGGTAATAGGTAGAGGATTATGCAGATAATTCTGATAATGTATGGTGTGCATACAACCATACTCTTATATTTTATATTACCTAGCCATTATGTGATAATTTTTTTCATAGAAAATATTAAGTCATATGTATACTGCACAATGTAACCTATACATGTATATCATTGGACATAAGTAAACATAAAAGTTTACCTGAATAAAAAATATTACATTACATACCTTTATGCCTATTTAAAAATTTAATTTTACATTAAAATATTTTCAACACAATATAAACTATAGGTAGCCAAAATAATAGATAATAGTACAGACTTTTAGACTTTAGTAATACTTGTATAATAAGCCATCTTTCTAAGTGGTTTAATATGGTTTACTATAAAAATTAAATATCAATGTAATTGTAATTTTAATAAATTAAAGTTATATTTTAAGTAAAATAGAAACAAATAGAAAGCTCAATATAAATTTATGTGTCACTATATATTATATTCATAATAATATAGTTACTGTGTATAGAATATAAGAAAATTAAAATAGAGGGTGAGTGTTATGCATATAAGGCTATATAAACTAATAATGAATATTAATATGTATATACTTACATAATGAAAAAGTCGTATGTTTTTAGACCTTTGAGAGGTTGTGAAATAGTCGGATCACTCGGATGAAGTCGGATGGTCGAATGAGTCGAATGTAAAATATAATTAGAGACTAGAGTTATTAAGTAGTACGTATACCATAATCGTTAGCCATTCTTTTAACCACAAGAGACGACCGATCAATCAAGAACAATGAATTGACATTATTTGGCGACAATATTTTTATCAGTAAAATTTATCAATATAAATAGAATAGATGATTAATAACAATAACTATTAACGATTTGGTATATAAATAAATAACAATAATACACGAAGTTTTATATCGCGGTGTTAGCTTTCGGTGCATGCATGGTTAATCAAACACGGTGATATAGAACTTTCTCTGAACCGTATACCGATTATCTGATACACCACAGACGATATTCTTTTAATTGTTTATTCGGTAAGTATATATATATATATATATATTATATTATATATACCTTTAAATATTGTTAACACTGTTCGGAGTGTTTGAACATTAATGACACCGACCTTAACTATTATATAACTTAGTCTAGAGATGCAGCATGCAATTTCGGTTACATATAATACAATAAAATATACCTATACCTGTAGGTAAAAAACTAGTAGTAAAAAACTAACGGCAATGAAAAACCGACACTGAATGTCGAAAATGCTACTCGGGTTATTCATATTAATTGTAGTATATTTTTGTATTTGGATTACCCCCACGTATGTATAATTATTTGTTTTTTCAAATAAACGATGGCGGCGTCGCGGAAGTATTGCGAAAGCAGTTCCCGCGGCGTCGTCGGTTCAAACAGGAAAAAAAAAAAAAAGTATATTTTTGTATTTATATTTTATATTATTTATTATTATTTATTTATATTTTTATATTGACTAATGATGTTATAACAATTTATATAACATACATCATACACACACACACACACACATACATTTTTAATCACGCCTGTTTAAAAGTTTGAAACGGACAGTCCTAAGCCTGTTAAAGTGAGAAGGAAAATGTGTGCGCAAACGAGTTCTGATAATAGGGATTTTTGTCACAGGTAGCCAAAATATATGTGCGCAATCGAAAAGCGGAAAATTGTACATTGGATTATATTATTATACTATTATATACTCGTATTATTATTATTATTAGTTGATGATTTGATCGGTTATTATTTATATTACGTCGTTTTAAAATGTCTAAACGAAAGAGTAACACTTACTGTTCAGTGTATGGTTGTAAAACATTTTATTCAAACGAAGGTAACGTCAGTTTTCATACATTTCCTAAGGAAAATCAATCCAAAGTTAAATGGCTAAATAAAAGTGGAATCGAAGAAATGATTGATCGACGTAAGGCCTGGGTTATGAGACTGCGAATGGATACAACAAATATGGCAAAAACACAGTTAAAAGTCTGTTCTAAACTTTTTAGCAAAGATAATTTCATATTACCAGGTAAAAAAGAATTAAAATCTATTTTAATTATAAAATGTCTGCATATTATAACATTTATCTGTATTTCAGACTATAAATTAAAAAATGCCTCATTAAAGAAAACAGCAGTTCCATCACAAAATTTACCAACAACATCAATTAAACTTCAGTCCCCCAAAAAAAGAAAATCTCCAAAAAAAAGAGAACGTCCATTGGTATTGACTAGTAATAATATATCTGATAACATAGTAAGTAATAAGAAGCTTGTATGTTTTTAGGTACCCACTTATCTGTGTAATAAGTTATTTATTTAAAAAATATGGTATTTTCTTTTTGATCTTTATATTTCATTATTTTAATACAATAATATAAACCTAAACCTTAGTTATCATTTGTTAGTAATATACAATTTTAACATGATATTATTAAAGAAGCCAGGATTTTAATTTTGGGCCCTTGTGCAGGTCTTCACTACTTACATTAAACTGTGCACTTCATAAAACTATTAATAACACACCATTGATTTTAAGTCAATATATTTAAGCTCTAAAAACAATTATTCATAAGCATGTAAAATTAAAATTTAAAGTTCTACTACGCCAGTGTAAGATGTAATATTTTTTTTAGTTTTTTTTTTTTATAAAGGTTACCCAGAAAACAGACTCAACAATCTCTCATTCATGTGAACATTGGTCCAATGAAATGCTGGACATTGATAATTTAGATACTGATAATAATACAATGCAAACTGAGGAAACAAGACATACCAGTTCAGATAGTGGTGTTCTAACCATGACAATACCAATGGTTGATGCTGGCGTTCAAGTCACAACTGGAGATATTTTTATTCCTTTTATTTCATTGGTGACCACACCTCAAAAGTTAAATACAATGACTGGAATCCCCTTTTTTGAGATACTAGATAAAATAGTAGAGTTGTTTATAAAATATTATCCAAATACTAAATGTTATCGTTTGAGTGTAAAAGAACAAATCTTATTAGTTTTTATCAAATTTAAACAAGACTTATCATTAATTGTTCTAAGCATACTTTTTAAATCTGTAACAGCAGAAACTTGTAGAGCATTATATAATTCTACTATTCCTTTGTTAGCACATATTTTCAAAGCTCTAATTTATTGGCCTTCTAAACAAGAAATATTGGCTAATATGCCTTTGTGTTTCAACAACTTTTTAGATACAACAGTTGTTTTAGACTGTACAGAGATTTCTGTGCAAGTTCCAAAATGTCTTGCTTGTCGTATACGATTGTATAGTAATTATAAATCTACATTTACATTGAAATTTATGATTGGTATAACACCTGGAGGGTTAATATCTTTTGTTAGTGAACCATATGGTGGCAGGAGTTCAGATAACGCTATATTTGAGTAGAGTGGTTTAATTAACAAAATGTCATATCCTGACGCCATAATGGTCGATAAGGGGTTTTTAATAGATAGCATATGTAACAAAACTCTTGTATTGGAATTGGCTTATAACTGGCAAGAGATGGTTCTTTAAGTTTAGTCCATTCACGTGCAATGTCTGTTTTAGATAAACTTTCAATTTCATTTATAGTAGTTCTTCAATATTCATATTAAATAAAACAACAATGAAATTTTATTTATTGATCTTCTTTTTTTTTTTACAAATGTGAGAATTATTGAATATTGAATTAATAATCTATATTATTATCAAGGCTATGTTAGTATAGATTAGGCTAGTATAGGTTAGGTCAGTGGCGCAACTAGGGGGGGGGGGTTAAGGGGTTGTGACCATTTTTTGGCAGTCAAATCGAAAAATGTTGATTCAATAAATATTCAAATTAACACTATGCTTAAAAAAGAAATTGAAGCAAACCGGTTAAAGGTTATTCCAATAGTAAAAACAGTTATATTTTGTGGAAGGCAAGGTATAGCCTTAAGAGGCCATAGGGACAGTGAAATGTTATTAAATGCTAATGAGAATATTAATGAGCCTGAATGTAACGATGGAAATTTTAGACAGTTACTTCGGTTTCGAATAGATGCTGGAGATGAATATTTAAAGAGTCATTTAACTTCTTGCGCAAAAAATGCAACATATCTGAGCTGGAAAATACAAAATGAGATACTTTCTGCTTGTAATAATCTTATTTTACAAAATCTTGTATGTGCTGTAAACAAAGCCAAAGGGTTTTCTGTATTGGCCGATGAGACCAGTGACATCTCCAATAAAGAACAGCTCACCATTTGTGTGCGTTATGTTAATTTAGAACAAAAAAAAATTAGAGAAGATTTTTTACAATTTGTGGAAGTTACTGATGTAAGTGGCAAAGCATTAGCACAAACTATACTTCAAAATCTTGAGATCATGGGACTCGAACTGAATTACTTAATTGGACAAGGGTACGATGGAGCGGCGGCTATGTCCGGGAAATTTAATGGAACACAAAAACATATCAATGATAAATATCCAATGGCTTTATATATCCACTGTGGAGCACATTGTTTAAACTTGGCTATTTCATTTAGTTGTAATGTAACTGATATTCGAAACTGTATGGGCACAATGCAAGCTATATGTAACTTTTTTGGCTATCCTAAAAGACAAAATGCACTCAAAATATCAATTCAGAATGAACTACATGAATCAAAATTGAAAAAACTAAAAAAGTTTTGCCCTTCAAGGTGGGTTGAGCGACATGACGCTGTACTTGTGTTTCATGAACTTCAACCAGCAGTTGTGGATGCACTTAATGAAATATCTACTTGGAAAGATAATGAGACTTCTGCTTTAGCTAACCAACTTAGTTCCTCCATCCATCAATTAAGGTTTCAAGTAGCCTTATTGATATTAGTAAAAGTATTTTCAATAAGTGCTCCTTTGAGCAAATTTCTTCAAACTGAAAACTTAGATTTAGAATCTGCTCTAGAATTTGCTGATATGACTCAATCAACTATAAAACAAATCCGTGATAACGCTAATGCTGAGTTTAAAAAAATATTTAAAGAAGTAGAGGATGTCTGTAGTAGTTTTGATATAACTGTTAGTGTTCCAAGAACAACAAGTCGACAAAAAAATAGGAGTAATGTTATGAATAATAATCCAATAGAATATTATAGAATCTCAACATTCATCCCATTTCTTGATAATTTTCTTGAACAACTACACGGACGATTTCTTGAACATAGGGCCAAACTAAAAAGTTTCAACTGCTTATTACCTAAGACCAGCAAACAAATATCTGAAGAAACATTTGAGGACTTCAAAATTCTGTTCAATTTTTATAATGATATATTAAGTGACAGTATCAATTTGACTAGCTTAGAAATGGGTTATGGTGAACTTAAACTGTGGTATAAMAGTTGTGCATTCAAATCGCAAAATTTGTCGTCAACAATAACAGAACTATTTTTCAATTGTAATCCTGATTTTTTTCCTTTAATCTCAAAGTTATTACAAATATTAATTACACTGCCAGTCACAACAGCTACTGGAGAGAGGTCTTTTTCATCCTTGCGTCGACTTAAAAATTATCTCAGAAACACTACTGGTCAAATGAGACTAAATGGATTGGCAGTCCTCAATATACACCAAGATATTAATGTTGATCCATCAATGATTATTGATGAAATGGCTAAA